GTCATCACTGAGTTCTACTGTCACTGTAGCTACACACACACACACACACACACACACACACACACACACACAGAGTCTCATGTTTACTTTTAAGAAAACAGGACTCCTGTGGGAGAACAAATGCGATGAGATGTTTTTACGGCGGTTCTCCTGTTGATGGGAGAGTCAGGGTTCTGCTGGAGGTCCAAGACGACTCATCACCAGTTGGTTTCTCTCTTCAGGACAAAGAAGGGTTCTGGATGCCAGGCTGTGTTCAGGCTTTGTTGTGACAACGTTAGCATAAGGTTCCAGAGGTTATGAGCTGTATATTCAGCAACACCACGGTGTTCTGAGACGTGAGTCCCTGAAACGATCCTGAAGAGATTACTAGTTTATATAATGTTAATGAACTCATTAAATGGTCCTAATGAAGCTCCTGAGTGTCTAAAAAAGAAGAAACATGGACTTCCAAAAGTCCCCTACAAGGTTCAGACATTTCTAAAGACGTTCCCTAAAAGGGTCGTGGATCTCTGTAAGGGTTCCGAGAAGAGTTTCTGAGTTTCTAGTTTTAAAATGTTCCTCTATTCAGTTAAATATCTACGAGCTGCTGAAAACATTCCTCCTCTACTGCAACGCTTCTAAACAAGTTCCTGAACAAATGTTTATTCACAGAAATCACATTCAAAGGTCTCCAGATGTTCTCAAAAGGGTTCTGGAATCCTCTCAGGTACAGAACATGTTCCTTGAAATGTTTATAAAATGCACATTCGTTGCTACAAAGTTGGAGAAAAAGTTCTGAATACAAGATTCCTTAAAATGTTCCTCGAAGTTTCCTAAAAGCTTCCTGGAGTCTCATAGAGGTTCGTCAAGGAGGATCTAGACGATTTTCTCCTGTAACAAAGTTCCCCAAAACGTTCCTCGGGTTCTACAACATTGCTTTAAAGTGTTCCTAAATGATTCCTAGAACATTTTTCAATGTTCACAGAAACTTCTAAAATGTTCCTAAATAGCTTCTAAGTCACTGACGTTCCTTCAAACATCCTCAGGCTCCAATAAATGTTCTGCAAGAACATCAGTCGGTTCCTGCAAAGCTTCTAAACCACAGAGTGCACAGGAACAAGGTAACAGGTCCATGAGAACCCAGGTGTTGTCAGGTGTTTACCTGCTCCAATCACCTCCTCGATCTTCACGAAGGAGGCGTCGATCTCCTTGGCGAACTCCCTCACCGCCTCGTTCGGGTCCTCGTAGGTGAACGGGTCGATGTACACCTTCATCGCTGCAACAACAACATCATCATCATCATCACTCAGCTGGAGACAGCGTTCATCTGTGTCAGGCGTCTCATTGGCCGAGCTACAACTCAAACTGTGATTGGCTGACTCACTCTGTCCCATCTGATAGTGTCCACTCTTGTCACTGATGCTGGAGTCCGTCCTCCTCCTGCTGATGGACAGAGAGACACACAGGTGAGAGACGGACTTGAGCTTCATCCGTGCTCCCCCCGTGC